TCAGAGAACTCCAATATCCCCACAGTTGTCATCTCCCTCCTCTCCACAGCCTCCACTGCTTTTTAGCACTGATGATGTTCCCTGTTTGGGTCATGAAACATCTGCACACGCAGGTGCTTAAGTGCTCTGTGTGATGCTCTGATGAAATTACCTAGCTTGGTAATGAAATGTCTGCAAGAAAAAGACCAAGCTCAGACAGCACCAAGGACCCCACAGTCTTCCTCCCCACCTCTTCCTTCTCCTCTTTATAAACCCTTCTCCCTTCTAGCACTGAGGATGTTCCCTAGTTAGGTCATGAAAGGTCTGCAAGAAAACAAGCCAGCTCAGAGAGCACCCAGGACCCCAAAGTCCTCCCCCTCCTCCTTTCCAGGACCCCACAGTCCTCCCCCTCCCTTCCTCCTTTCCACAAAACCACTCCCTTCTAGTACCAATGATGTTACCTAGTTGGGTTCATGAAATGTCTGCAAGAAAACCACCAAGCTCAGAGAGCACCAAGGACCCCTCAGTTCTCCCCCTCCCCCTCCTCCTCCTCCCTCCTCCTCCTCTCCACAAACCCCACTCCCTTCTTGCACTGATGATGTTACCTAGTTGGGTCAGGAAATAGCACCAAGGACTCCCCTGCACCCCAGTCCAACCCTGAATAATTCTCTTCCATTGCTTCTTTCTTGTTGTCAAAAACGTCCATGAAAATCTGGAGATAAGTTTGAACCAGTTCTGGCGATCCTCTACCATGCAGCGGAGCTTCTAAATGCTGTTCAGGGATCTATGAAGAGAGGAATATAGAGTCCAGATCTTTGGAATAATTGTCCCATTCTGCTCTCTTTTGCCCAGGTTTCGCGCAGAATACTGGAAGCTGCGCTCTGCGGGGCGGAAAGCTGACAGCTAGCAACCTGGAGTGAGTTCAGACAAGGTCCCCTAGAGTGAGAAGGGCCTGGCAACAGGTCCTTTGAGGAAGCGTGAAAAGACCTGGGTAGGTTAGCTGCAGAAGAGAAGTTTGGGGAGAGAGACGTTGGCAGTTTTTGGATATCTAAATGGTTGTCAAGGGGAGGATAGGGTGGAATAATTCTGTGTGCATCTGGGTGGGCAGGACCCAGGGGCTGAAATGAAGGGCAGTTGGGTAGATGTTAGGAGGAATTTCCTGATGGTAAGGAGCAGTGGAACAGAGAGCTCACAAAACTTTCACTGGAGGACTCAGAGCAGAAAAGTCGAATAACATAGTTGGAAGGGACCTTGGGAGGTCTTCTATTCCAACCCCCTTCTCAGGCAGGAGACCCTGTATCTTTTCAGACAAATGAACGTCCAGTCTCTTCTTGAAAACCTCCAGGGATGGAGCATTCACAGCTTCTGGAAGCAAGCTGTTCCAATGGTTAGGTCTCATAGTCAGGAATGTCTATGGAGATTCTAGGTCCTCCGGGTCATAGCTGTCTCAAAGCTGCATTTTCAAAAGGCAACTGGAATTTCTTGGTTTTTTTTTTCCCTTGAAGACATTTCGCTTCTCATCCCAGTTCATGAAGAACTAAGGAAGCTTTTTTGGATGAGAAACAAATCTTTTTCCAGGAAAAAAAAACTCAAGAAACTCCAGTTGCCTTTTGAAAAAGCAGCTTTGGGTCACTTGTCAGAAAGTTTCTCCTTATTTCTAGGTTGCTTCCTTCCTTGATTCCATCTGCGGTGGCTTGTTCTGCGCTCAGGTGCTTTGGAGAATAGATCGACACCTTTTCCTCCCCTTCAACTGAAGCTGTCTAACTCTCAGTCTAAACTAAACCATCCAGTCAGATCTGAAGAAGCTGCTTGGATGAGAAGCGAAACGTCTTCAGAGAAAACCCAGAAAGTCCGGTTGCCTCTTGAAATAAATAAATAAAAAAAACACCTTTGGCACAACCCTGAATGGCTGATCCTGATCCCCGATCCTGAATGGCTTGAGAATCTCCATAGACTCTCAGTCTAAAATGCTGTAACACAGAGGTCTCCAAACTTGGCCACTTTTAAGACTTGTGGACTTCAAACTCCCAGAATTCTCCAGCCAGCTGGGAGTTGAAGTCCACAAGTCTTAAAAAGTGACCAAGATTGGGGACCCCTGCTTTAACAGGTTCTGCACTAATTGGGGTTGGGCTAGAGGATCTCTGAGGTGCTTACCCATTCTATAATTTTTCTACTGTATTCATCTTTAAATAATCTTTGTGTCTAGGGAACCAGAGCACTACTCCGTGCTGGATTAAACCACCAAAGATGCCTAAAGATGAAGAAAAAGTTAACTTGCGTCGCCTCGAGCCTGCCATCCAGAAGTTCATTAAAGTTGCCATTCCCACAGATCTGGAGCGGTTAAGGAAACATCAGATCAATATCGAGAAGGTTTAACTTTTCTTTTTTCTTTTAAATTCATCTTAAGAAGGTCAGGCAGGAAATGCATATTTCGGGTCCCATAAGCTAGGGCAGTGGTCGCCAACCGGTGGGCCGGGGACCACTGATGGTCTGCAAGAAAGTTTTGGTGGTCCGCAGAGAAATGTTCCCCCCCAAAGCAATTAATCCAGGCTGCGCGGGATCACAAGGCTCTGCTGCCCACATGGCCCGCGGGAACACAAGGCTTGCGCCACTTGCACTGCAGACAACACGAGGTAGTGAGGGGAGGGGGGAAAGGGTGGAGGGGGGAACTTGCCCCCTGCACCTGGCCTGGCCACCGAGCTGCTTCTTTCCGCTTCTTTCTTCTTCCGCTTTTGGCTGCATGCAAGGAAAGCAGCAAAAGTCTTTCTTTCTCTCCCCGAAACTCCGCCAGAAATGAGTCTTTGGGACCCTGCAAGGCCTCCTGCTCCAAGAGGCTGCGTCGGCACAAAAGACCCATTTCTGGCGGAGTTTGGGGGAGAGAAAGAAAGACTTCTGCGGCTTCTGCTGCTTTCCTTGCATGAAGCCAAAAGTCTCTCTCTTTCTCCCCCTGAGAACAGAGCTGGAGACGGTATCCTGCAATCCCAAATAAAGAACGATCGATCGGTAGGAAAATGAGATGGGGAATTTTCCTGCAGACTTTTTGGGGGATTTTCCCAGGGGGGTCTCTGGTCCGTGGGATTTAAAATGATGAGTTTGGTGGTCTCTGAGGTCCAAAAGGTGGGCGACCCCTGAGCTGGGGAATATTGTCAGGCAGGATCTAAGAAGAACAGTTTTGTTCAGGGAGTTCTTGACTTAGGACCATTGGTTTAGTAGCTGAAGTTACAACAGCATTGACAAAAATAGACTTATGACCGTTTTTAACATTTTACGGCCGTTGCAGCATCCCCGGGGTCATGCGATCAAAATTCAGAGATTTGGCAACCGGCATGGACTCATGACGGTTGCAGCTTCCTAGAGTCACGTGATCCCTTTTGTGCGACCTTGTGACCAGCATGGGGAAGCCAAATTCACTTAACGACCGTCTGACCAACCTAACTATTGCAGCGATTCACTTATCAATGGTGGCAAGAAAGTTTGTAAAATGGGGCAAAACTGACAGAATACTTTGTTTAGAAATTTGGGGCTTTGTTTTGATCATGTTGGTCATAATATGGAAATTTGGGGGTCTGTTTTGGTGATAAGTTGGTCATAATATGGAAATTTGGGGGTCTGTAAGCAGCTGTATTGGGGGCCCTGCCCTGTGGAACATGGCTTCCCTTGAGGCTGTTGGGGTTCCTTCAATAATGGCTTGTCAACTAGTTTGGGGACCCCCCCCCCTTAATAGAGCAGGCCCTCTTGGCTAGTTGTATGACAGTTTAATGGAATATCTTATGTTGATATCCCTTCCTACCATTTTTTAAAATCTTAAATTGGTGGTTTTAACGGTTTTTATATATTCTTGGTTATTGGTGTGTGATAGTTAGTTGTAGAGTTGTAATTGCAGGGATGTCTTTATCTCTGATGGCAAACCTCAAGAGAAAAGAATGGTTCCAAACTCAGGCAAATAAAGTTACTCATCTAAAGGAGGATTAGAGAGAGGAAGTAAACATATGTTGGACTTTGACTAGAGATCATTAATGGTGTTAGTTACTAGGCTGAACAATAACGAAAGTCAAGCAGAAACCAAAGTTAACCAAAGTTAGAGGATTACTAAAAATGTGTATAAATGCAAGACTAGATTCCAATAAAGATCATGATTCAGTTGATCATGATCAAACACCTCGACTGCCTTGTCATTGCAACAGTTAGTGAGATGGGCAGCTATGTAAATGAAAAAAATAATTTTACACCTATGTTGAAAAAAAAAAAGTATCTTTCAAACTATCTGCTTGATCCAAAGCAAACTGAAATAGTTTGGCTGAATGGAATGACACAGAAAATGGTTGTCCAATGTCCGATCCCACCTCCTGATATTTATACTTGCGATAGAAATTTTATTAAATCAAACTAGAAATAAAAAAGAAATTACGGGCACTTAGATAAAAAAGGAAGAGTATAAAACACAAGCATTTGATGATGACATGGTATTTTTTGTAGAAAATCCAAATGAGGTTGGGAAAATATTGCTAAACGAAATAGAGGAATATGGTAGAGTAGCTGGTCTTAAAATCAATAAAAATAAAATGAAAATGTTAAAAAATCTTTTAGATAGTCCAAAAAAAAAAAAAAAAGAATTAGAAAAGGAAACAGAACTCCAAATTACAAATAAAATTAAATACTTGGGTATTTGGTTGACAGCAAAATGCTCGTCCTTAAAGGAAGACAATTATGATTAGTTAGTTAATCAGACAAAGAAAGATTTGGAAATATGGGGGAAATTGCAGCTATCCTTAGTAGGAAGGATTGCTGCAATAAAAATGAACTTACTACCAAGATGGTTATATCTATTTCAGACTGTACCGGTAAAGTTAAACAAATTTTTTTTATGGGGTACTAAATAAGATGATAACAAAATTTATGTGGGAAGGTAAAAAGCCTAGAATTAGATTAAAACTATTGCAGGATAATAAGATGCAGAGATGACTTCGGACTCCCTGACTGGGAATTATATCAACAGGCAGCAATATTAACCTGGATTAGAGACTGGATATCTTTAAACAATTGGAGAATATTAACGCTAAAGGGACATGACCTGCAAGTTGGATGGCACGCCATCCTGTGGGAGAGAAATAGAAAATGGAATGAATAGAATAGAATTCTTTATTGGTCAAGAGTGATTGGACACACAAGCAATTTGTCTTTGGTGCAAATGCTCTTGGGGTACATAAAAAAAAATACATTCGTCAAGAATCATAAAGTACAACACTTATTTTATTTTTTTATGTCATAGGATACTAATAAGCAGTCGAATCATACTAGGAAACTATAAAAACAATATAAGTTGTAAAGATACAAGCAACATGGATATAGCCATAAGTGGGAAGAGATAGGTACTAGGAAGGATGAGAAAAAGAATAGTAATGCAGCCTTAGTAGTTAATTTGACAGTCTTGTGGGAATTGTTTAGCAGAGTGAGGGCGGTAGGGAAAAAACTCCCCTTGTGTCTAGTTGTTCTGGTGTGCAGTTCTCTATAGTGTTGTTTTAAGGGAAGGAGTTGAAACAGTTTATGTCCAGAATGGAATATAGAATATAATATAGAATAAAATATAGAATAGAATAGAAGAATAGAATATAAAATAGAATATAGAAAAGAATAGGATATAGAATTGAATCAAATCAAATAGAAGAATGAAATAGAAAATAGAATAGAATAGAATAGCTGGAAAGGACCTCAGAGATCATCAAGTCCAACCCCCTGCTTAGGCAGGAAACCCTACACTATTTCAGACAAATGGTCGGCCAATGCCTTCTTAAAAACTTCCAGCGTTGGAGCATTCACAACTTCTGGGGGCAAGTTGTTCCACTGATGAATTCTTGTAATTGTTGGCAAATTTCTAACTGACAGGAAATTTCTTCCGATAATTTAATTTTCGGCCTAGTCGTGCCGCATTTATCACACTTCCAGAAACCACTGGTGGTTCAAATTCAGAAATTCACGCTTCCTCCTTCCAACGGATGTCATTTTGAGCCTCTCTTTTTGAGAGCATCCCACTTTCCCAAGAAAAGAGGCAAATCAATCAATAAATATCCTTGGTTAGTTTAACTCGGTGCTGAGGGAGATGCCACGTTTTTTTGACACCTGCTGTTCTTTCCTCCCTGTTTTGCCTTTAGTACCAGAGGTGCAGGCTGTGGGACAAGCTGCACGAAGAACATATCAATGCTGGCCGCACTGTTCAGGTAAGGAGATGGCGGCCGTAGACGTCCGCTGGAGCTCTCGTCCGGCAAACAAAGCTGGGGTGACGTGGGCCCATTTTATTTGTTGGGTGGGTCTATTTCAAAGACTTTTAGGCAACCTCAGGTGTTGGGCCTGGCTGGGGCATGCTGGGAATTGAAGCCCACACTTCTTAAAAGTGTCTTAAGAGTCTCGGTGGCGCAAGGGTTAGAGTGCAGTACTGCAGGGCTACTTCTGCTGCCTGCCGGCTGCCTGCAGTTCAGCACTTCAGATTTCACCAGGCTCCAGGTTGGCTCAGCCTTCCGTCCTTCCGAGGTGGGTAAAAGGAGGAGACAGATGGTTGGGGGCAAGAGGCTGTCTCTGTAAAGTACTTAGAGAGGGACGTAAAATCATTGTGAAGCGGCATATCAGTCTAAGGGCTATTGCTATTCCTTCCTTTCCTCCCTTCCCTTCCCTTCCCTTCCCTTCCCTGCCTTTCCTTTTCCTTCCTTCCTTCCTTCCTTCCTTCCTTCCTTCCTTCCTTCCTTC